TTTTTTTTACACCTATAATGAATTGTTTGCTAAGTTGAATCCCTACATAACCACTTCAAAGGAGAATTCTTAGGATGTATCTTAATCAACATTACTTTCTTTTAATTCTTTTAAAACTTAGGTTTTGCTCAATTTTAAAAAGTAGGGTAAGAACTTCTATTAAAGTTCAACCTTTCAGGCTAGGACTGGCAATTTTATGTTAGAATTTTTGCTAATTGAGTTTATCTCGTTCCCTATATGATCAACAACCAAACTCAAACGCCGGTACTACTGATACATCATGTATACCTGCATGAGACTCCCATGCTTCTCAACACTTTGTGTGTGTCACTAATCGCACTAATAAAAGTCTTAGAGCCTAGGCGTTGAGGTGTGAGACTAAGGCACCCAAACAAATGTGGAATATTAATCATGTAGCGAAATGGGGGCCCAAAAATCACAGATTTGATGTGCAATCGAGTAAACTCGCATGAAACATTTAATCAAAACAAAACACACATTACACAACAACTCAAAGGCTAATGATAAAAATAGAAGCAAATCAACACAATTAAACATTTGGTTGCCTCCAAAGAAGTGTTTGATTTAATGTCCTCAGCCACACAATGACACCAATTACTTGGGATGATCTAAAATCAAAATTTCTCAACAAACCATGTTATCACCCACAAAATACAACTTAAGTCTCTGCTCATTAACCTTAAGAACTCTAGCACTCTTTTTATCTTCAATATTCATGAAGAACAGACCAGACCACCAGTACAATAATGTCTTTTATCCAGGCTCAATATTCTTCCTAACTTTTGATAATGTCATTTTTTGTCTTTTCCTTATAAATTTTCGCATTCTGATAGGCTTGCTCTCAAATTTCCTCAAACTCTTTCAAATGCAGTACTTGTTTTTTTTTTCAAATCTTTCATATTAAGGTTGAATTCTTTTACTACCAAAAAATCTTTATGTTCCAACTCTACAGGTAAAAGACGAGTTTTTCCAAAAACAATATATATAGAGACAATCTTATAGGTGACTTATAAGCAGTGCTATAGGCCCATAATGCATCATTCAATTTCAATGATCAATCTTTTTTAATGAAATAAACTATCTTTTCTAAAATTCTTTTTAACTCTCTTTTAGAAACCTCAACTACTCCACTAGTGTGGGGTAGTATGCAATGAAAACCTTATGTTTAATTCCATATTTGACTACTAATATCCCTATCTTTTGTTTCTAAAATGGTTAACTCCATCACAAATAAACACTTTATGCGTCCCAAATCTATTGAAAATGTTTTTATTCAAAAACTTTTGAATTCTCTGAACATCACAATTAAGAATAACTCCTTATTCAATCTAATTTGAGACATAGTCCACTACTACAAGGATATATAACTTTCTTAGTGATGACACAAATGGTCACATAAAGTCTAATCCTAAAGTATCAAAGATCTTCACTTCTAAAATGTAACTTAAGGGCATTTCAGCTATATTATGAATAATATTTATTATTTGAGAACTATCACATTTTTTATGTATTCAGTAACATCTTTAAACAATATAGGCCTCGAATCTGAATTGTAAAAGCTGAACAATTATTCTAAATCGTCTAAATTGCCCTCAAATTCAAAATTATGACACCCTAATTATATCATTAACCTCTTCCAAATAGACATCTAATAATATCACTGGTACACTTTCTAAAGAAGTATGGTTCGCCCCAATAATAAAGTTTGGCATCATAAATGAATTTTTTTTGTTGGTATGTCAAATCATAGTTTATGAAGCCACTAACAAAAAAGTTCACTACGCAAAAATACCAGGAAATGTTTTGCTAAAAAATGACAGAGTCCCTTGTTGGGAAAACTATCATTTATTTATATGAGAAACTCATTAGAACTCTCCTGCTCTAGCCTAGACAGGTGGTTTGCTACAGGTATTTCAGTACATTTTATATTCACAATTTTAATATCAAATTCTTATAATAAAAAGACTCATCGGATCAAATGAGAGTTGACATCCTTCTAGTTACAAGGTATATGATTGCAACATAGTAAATGAAAACAGTGCTTTTGATACCAATTAGGCAGAACTAAATTTATCGAAGACATATACTATGGCCAATAACTTTTTTTTAGTGGAGGAGTAATTCATTTGAGCTTCATCAACAGTCTTCCTGGCATAACATATGGCTCAAAAAATCTTATCTCCTTTGCCCTAATATCATGCCTACCACGTAGTCACTAGTGTCGCACATCAATACAAATGAACACTGCCAATCCAGTGAAAGCATGACAAGTGTTATGACTAACTCAGCTTTCAGAGTCTCAAATGAAATGACACAATGGCCGTCAAAGTGAAAGGGGACATCCCACACTAACAGAGGACACAGGGGTTTAGTGATCTTGAAAAAGACCTTAATATAACATCGGTAGAATCTTAAGTGTCATAAAAAACTTGTAACTCCTATCACAAATACAGGTGGTGGAATTTTCTTCTTATCACTTAGATATTCGCCGAAGCTACCTCCATCCCCCTCTTAAAATTTATCCCAATACAAAATTTTTCATCATCATGAATTGACATTTTTCCTAATTTAAAACTAATTGGGTCTCCTCACAGCTCTACAATATTTTGGCAAGATTCTCTAGGCATGAGTCAAAGAAGGGACCAAACACCAAAAAAAAAAAAAAAAAAACATTCATAAATTTTTATCCCTTTCTTAATCAAATCAAAAAAGATGGGCATCATGCAATAGTAGAAGGTGGTTAATGCAATACATAGTCCAAAGGGCGTCCTTCTAAAGGCAAAGGTCTCAAAGAGGCTCATGAATATAGTTTTATCTTGGTCCTCGAGAACTATGAGAATCCGGTGGAAGCCTGAATAGTCCTCTTAGAAACAAAAGAAAGGGTGGTCGGCTAGTCTGTCCAACATATGGTTCATAAATGACAGAGGAAAATGGCCATACTTAGAGGCAGCATTGATACTCCTATAATCAATGAAAATTTGCCGCCTAGTGACACATCTTGTTAGTATCAACTCATTTTTCTCGTTTTCCACCACTGTCACTCATCTCATCTTGAGGGCACAATGGATCGAACTCACTAAATAATTTTTGCATCCAACTACTTCATTATTCCATCTTAACCACCTCCTTCATCACAGGGTTAAGTCTCTTTTGGGTATCAACCTTATGTTTGTGGTTCTCTTCCATCAGAATCATATGTATGCAGAGAGAAGGGCAAATACCTTTAATGTTCATGATGGTCCACCCAAAAGTTTTCATAAATGTCCTTGGAACTCTCAATTTCTCTTCCTGTAGCTTAAACAACTCCAAGGAGATAATCATTGACAATGCACAAGTCTCTTAGGTGGACCTTTCAATTCCAACTCAAGGGCTCTCTCTATGGATGACACTAAGGGTTTGGCATGGACAGTGGTATCCAATAGCTCAAATATATCCTACACGCCCTAGGGCTCACTTCTAGTAGTATAGCAAATTCTTTCTTAGAATCTTTATTATCCTCCTCAAATAGTCCATGCTCTACTGATCAACTTCAAAAATATGTTGAAATGAGCATCTAATCAACCCATCCACCAAATCTAACCTATAGCATGAATTATCATTAAAATCTTGAGGGTTTTTAAAATATTAAATGCTATCACTTGATCATTAACCCTCATATTCAATTCTTCCTTTTGGACATGAATCGCCCTACCTATGACAAGAAAAAGTCTTCATAAGATTATGGGAATTTTCTTATCCTCCTCCAAATCTAGAACAAAAAAATATGCTGAGAAGATAAATTTATCCGCATTAATAAAAACATCCTCTGTGGCCCCTCTAAGATAAGTCAAAGATCAGTCAACAAGTTGAAGTGTTGCAATGGTAGACTAAACTTCTCATAGTCATAATCTCTTGAAAATGGATAGGGGCATGAAGTTTATACAAGCTCCTAAATCACATAAAACTTTACTAAAAAAAATTTCTTCTATGACAAGGGATGGCAAAATAACTAAGAACTTTAAGTTTTTTAGTGAGTTTATTTTGTATAATAGCACAACACTTCTCGCTTAGAGTTACAGTCTCAAAGTCTCCTAGCTCCTTTTTTCTTATTGAGAATATCTTTCATGAATTTCACAAAACATTTGTGTTCAACCATCAACAAAAGGAATGTTAATTTTTAGCTTCTTAAACGCTTCCTAAAACTTCCAAAATTGTAGATCAAGCTTATGCTTTAGAAGCCTTTGGGAAAATGATAGGGGTTTTCTAGTTCCATCTTAGGAAGTGATTGATTTCCCAAAGACTGGAGCAAGTTTTTTCACTGAGATTTTCAAACTAAGGGTTAGCTTCTTCCTGCGTGGGCACCTTCTTATTAAATTCTTTAAACTCTTTCTCATTCCTTAATTTAATGGCCTTAACACATTCATTCCCTTTACTTTTGGGATTCACTTCATTATTACTAGGGTAAGATACTCTGGGTTTGTTGCTTTATGTGTTCTCTCTCTAACTTAGTTGACTTTCAATATTTCTTATTAATGTGCTTGACTCTGCAAATAATTCTCCATTTGCAACACAATCTCTTATGAAGATAACTTCTTCCTTTTAAATTGGGTATTTGAAGTGAATTCAGGTGGGCATGTCTGTATAGAATTGCCTTTATTTTGATTATTCTAATTATCTAATGAATTAGATTGGTTATTCTTCTGTTATTATGTTCGTACACCATGGGTAGTATTATTCGAGCTAAAATTAGAGTTATTCTTTCAACCTGGATGGTAAGTGTAAAATAATGTCCAACAGATGTGTGGAAACTATAAAAATACAGAGCAAGAAAAAGACTGCTCTCAACATACCCTGAATTTTTAACTTCATTACAAGTTTACAACCCAAATTATGTAGTTCTGATTGGCAAATTAGGGATTCATCTATAGGAAATTTGAAAAACAAACAATGGAGAATTTTTTTTTGAACTCATAAATAACTCATTTGACAACATTCTACAGCCACCATATCTAAAAATTCAAACAAAAGCAAGCACAATTAGAGTCAGATTACAGATGTGCGATTTTATTGACTACAATTTTTTTTTCTATTTTCATGAAACCCGTCGAAGAAACGGAAAACAGCACCTGCTGAAAATCTCACTATAGGGCAAACCAGAAAACACAAATATAATACTACAGAAATACACAGAAAAAAATCCGCCCCGTCCTCTTCAAATTAATGCGCAGTAACTAAATCAGCACCGAACACATCCAGCACGGAATCCGACGGATCTGGACTAGGAGGTGCAAAGAAAACGTACTTGGCCGCAGCGAGCTTCTTCCTCAGCAAAATCCGCGGTGCACACATCCTACTAGCAAAGAATCGGATCTGCTCGCCCTCCAACTCCTCGATAGGCATCGCCGAGGCAGCAATTACCGGAGATCCAGGCGGAGAGATCCGTGCTACGGAGATCTGCAAAGATCTTGGCGATCTTGCGCAGATCTTCGAGTCCCGCAGTCGCGCAAGCGCACCCGGCTTCAGAAAACGCTGCAGCCTCTCAGTCCTCGCAGCAGCTCTCCTGCACGGGCTCCTCATCCTCCGGTTCATTCCGATGATCTGGAGAGAGAGTGGGTGTTGAGGGAGAGGGGTGATGGCCGATGAATGTGGGAGGGAACCAGGGTTTTTTAAGGAGAGGCGGGAATGAGTGCAGACGCCAAGGGTTTTTTCAAAATGGAAAGCGGGATGTGTACGATAAGAGCCCGCGCTTGGCCGGAAATTTATGTAGCCGTTACTGTAGCCTTTCCATGTGACCGCTTGAGCCAGGCAACGTGATGCGCTATCTGGCCGCCTGAATTCGATCGGACGGTGCTAATAGTCCTGGTTCGACGGGCACATGGGACTGCAGAGCATCTTAGGCCCCATTTGATCACTAAAAGAAAAAGTTAAAAATAGGATAACATTAACAATCACTATTTTTCATTTGTTTCATATAATAATTTTAGGATAATTACTCTTGACAAAAAAATTTAGGTTTTTATGTTATTGAAATTGTCTGAA